CATAGATATTGCTTCCCTGGTAAAGCAGTGAATGTTTTGAGGATATGTGTTTAATGTTATTTACAATAATTAATAAAATATTTTTCATATAGTATGAGTAAAGCGATATATAACACGCATACTTGAAGTGTACAGCTCAGTTTTAATTTTTAAACATTTTTAGTGTTTTAATTAGTACCAGGTAAATATTTAACATTGTTAATTAAAACTGCATCATTCCCTTTTTCTTTTAGAGGTTTCCTTTTCTTAAAATAAGTATGAAAGTGGAAGATATAACGAAAATGAAATGATGGGAACATCATATCATCTCATTGAAAACTGAGGCTTTCGAACCCTTACATATTTTCTGGTGATTGGATAGTCTTTTCCACTTTGTCATTAAACAATTATTAAATGAATGCCTGACATGTACAAGTCACCAAGGGATTAAAAATAGTGCAATGTACAGATATTGGAATTTATAATTTAGTACAGAAGATACATCCAAACCCAAATCACTATCATATAAGACCGTATAATTACCAGATAAGTTATACAGGAAAGTACTAGAGGACAGCAGGGAATATAATAAGCATTGTTTTCTGGGGCTAGTCAGAAAGACTGCTAGGAAAAAGTGACATCGGATCTGCACAAAAAATAACGGTTAGAAGTCAGGCAGAGATAACAAGAGGGAGAAGGGGGGCAAGTTTAGGCAAAAAGCACAGGATAAGGAAAGGCACAGAGGTGGGAAATCATAATGGATGTTAGGGAGATGGCAAGGGGTTTAGATCGACTAGAATTCTGTGTTGGAGAGGGGTGGGATGCTTGGAAAAATAGGCTGGGTATTGTATCAGAGGGAAGCTTTGAGAAAAATATCTCTGCTGAATGAATGCAATAAAGCAGGCATTCAGTGTGAGTTAGAACAATGAATTGCCAAATAAGGAATCTATCTATTTTAGTGTGTCTAATTGCAGAGCAAAAATGTTGCATTATAGGAAACAAATACTGAATCAGCACATTCAGAAAGTATTCCTCATTAACAATACTTTTAAAGAATCAGGATGTTTGCGGTTCCAGATAGAGAGTATTTATAATTTTGTATGTATAGAGAGCCAGGAGATATGGAGGTGTAGGGAGCTAAAGCTCCCAAAATTCAAAAGAGTGCATGGATTATCTCGGGAGGCCTGCTTGCATAAAAAAGGGAAAAGGCTGGTTCTGTGGAATTCCAGGAAGAAGAAGATTAAGTATAGACAAAGGGAGTGTCGAAGGGAGTGTCAAAGGAAGTGTAGATTGTACCTGATCTTCAGGATGTTACTTTAATTATGTTATCTTGGGATACACAAAGGAACAGATTATGTATAAAAAGGAGCATAAGAAATAAACTTCGGAGAGACAGTTGTGAGATCTGTTCTCCCTCCTGCACCCTGTCTGTCTTCTCTTTTTTCTCAGTCCCCGCTCCCCCATTCAGGTACCTGGTTTGACTTGGTCGGCTGGTTTCCGACATGGAGGTAGATGAAAAAACACGGATAAGTAAATAGAAAGTATTCTGATATACTTATCTGTTAGGAAATGCTTATCCTAACCTTGAAAACATGTTATTAATGAATCTAAGAAAAAAATTACTACAGGATTTGTTCTACTTACATTTGCACAGGGCATTACATTTTTACAGGTGTCCTCAATACACTCTTATTTAATCTTCATAAAAACCATATTGTTCAACACAGCAGTTATATTATTCCCATTTTACAGATGAGGAATGGGGCTCAGAGAGGCCCGGACTGTCCCAGTGCCATTTATGAAGTAAATCATAAATGCTCAAATTTGAAACTATCTCACTAAATGGACATCTTTCTGCTACCGGTTTGTTGCTCCCCTAAAGTAGTGGACTCATGGGCTTTTTGACTTTGAGGAAGTCATTCAGACCCCGGAAGCATTGCTGTCTTCATCTGTATAATGGTTTTAATGAAAATCACATTTTACAGAGGTGTTGAGTTGGTACTGAAAAGTTATATATATATTTTCTAGAAAACTGTCCATTTTATCTGTTTTTCAAATGCACTGACATTATGCATAGTATTCTCTTACTGAAAAGTTATATATATATTTTCTAGAAAACTGTCCATTTTATCTGTTTTTCAAATGCACTGACATTATGCATAGTATTCTCTTATGAAGGTTTTCCATCAACTCACTGTACTGTACCTTCTAAAAGTATGCTAAATTGTTTTTAATTGTGGTAAAATACATATAAACATAAAATTTACCACCTTAACTAATCATTTAAAATTTAACTATTTTTAAATATACGGTTCAGAAATATTAAGTATAGTCACATCCTTGTGCAAGCAATCTCCAAAACGTATACACGGCATTTGTTTATCCATTCATCCATCATAAGACGCCTGGGTTGCTTCCATCTTTTGGCTGTTGTGAATAACGCTGCTGTGTACTTGGCTATTCAAATATCTCGTTAAAGCCTTGTTTTCAGTTCTTTTGGATATATACCCAGAAAAGGAATTGTTCGATAATATGTAATTCCGTTTTAAAATTTTGTGCAATCTCCATCCTGTTTTCTGTAGCAGCTGCACCATTTTATATTTCCATCAACAATGCACAGACTTTCTAATTTGTCTCTATACTCAATTGTCTGTTTACTTATTTAATTTTGAAAGTAGCCATCCTAATGGATATGAGATGGTAGCTCACTGTAGTTTTGATTTGCATTTCCCTAAAGATTAATGATGAGAAGTTTTTCATGTGCTTGTTGACTATTTGCATATCTTCTTTGGAGAACTAAACGATTATTAAAAAATGTGCTGAAATGTAACAACATAGATATAATTGATTATATGGACAAATGGTTTTCATTATGTTGAGATAATTCATCAAAATCCCATCATGCTGTCTCCATCATAAATGGTAATACCATTCTACCTGGCGTCTTTTCAGAAAATAGCTACAGTTAGAGATCAGGATATGTGGCTATGAACTGCCTTAATACTTGACCCTGAAACATCTATAAATAGTATATTTCAGATGTGAATCCAAGCTAATTGTAGACTTTTCCCTGCGAATTCCATAGGTAAGTATATAAGACCTATCAACCAACTAATAAACAAAAATATAGTGAATGCCATTTTACCTACAAATGGAAAATGTGTTGTAGAAATTTTTCATGGTGAACACATCCTGCCCTTTTTGCTTTTTTTCTAGCAGACTGAGGCAACTAACTGCAGTGTCCAGCTAGAAAGGCGAGTGCTCAGCACAGAAAAGAGTGAGAAAACCTGTTGCTGTTTTTCTTTTGGTAAAGAGTTTGAGGTTATTCTAAGAATATTTTACAAATATAAAAGTTCTTTATATGTTGTGTTTAGTTTTCTTGTCTTCATCCTACTTAGATATTATTATCTGTGTCTCATTTTTCTCTAGTAGTGTGTACAGTCAAGGAATAATGTTATAAGATAAATAATAAGAATATGTTGAAATAAAAAAAGTAATTATGTTTATATTAAAAAGTTGTATTCTTTGTTATTTGCCAAAAGTAAGAACAAAGATCCTATTTTGAAGCCTCGGACTTCTGGGTCTTTTAACTGAGAGTAAGAGAAATGTCTAATTTTAGTGTCCCCATACCATTAGTAGACATTTCTTTCTTTCTTTTCTTTTTAGAAAGTAGACATTTCTAATAAGTTTATAAAAGTTAATTCTGTGAAATACAGAAAACTACACAGATTTCATAACATGTACATAATTCTACACTAGTAACTTTCGTTTTTTTTTTGTATTGAAAACGAATCATAAGGGTTAAAACTGTAAACTAGTACATCCAGAAATATTTAGTCAATTAACTCTCTAATGAAGCTTGGCTGATGAAAATTACACACTGAGTGCTTTTAAGAGATGCTCTTTCAAGTTTTCATTTTAAGTAATAATTGCATTTCTTTTAAGTATTTCTTTGTAATTAGTGTATTTAAAATGCGGTCTAGATTTTCACTCAATTACCATATAATTTAGTTCTACTTCTTTGGAGTAATTCTCTAATAAAATGATTAATGACAACAGTAAAATGGTTAATAACGATACACTGTACTTTATAGCTCCTAGGAGATACAAGTACTTCATTGCAGATTTCATTACCTTTATCAGTACTATGAGGCAGACAGGATGAGAACATATTATTTTCTTTATGGGAATTTAAAACACAAAGGAGGTTAAAGCCACGTTGAATAATATTTACATACCTTCTGTGTCCATGGATATAAATATTAGTTAATAACTGTGGGGAATATTTGTCCTATACACATATTTCATTTATATACCTACTACAAAACGATGTGATCGTCAAAAAGGTTTATAGCTTCCCAGACTGGTTACATGCCAGTAATTACCAATTTTTATCTTTATTTTGCCAAATTTCACTTAACTCCAGAAAAGTACTCTAAGAAAACAATAATTCCCTGAAAGAATTTACAGTGGCATGAATTCATTTTGACTTGACAATTTTTTGTCTTTCACTTAAATTTAGCAGTCAGAAAATTTCTGGTGTAGTTAAACAATATGCAACGGGAGAAATTTCCTTCAATATTTAGGAACACCTGCCTCAAGATCCAAACTTTTATAGCTTTGGACAGAGGTAGTTCTGGAATGTGAATTTCCTGAAGTCTAGGCTTGAGTGCTTTCTATGTTAATTCTGTAAAACATTACAGAATAGTTCTGGAATGTGAATTTCCTGAAGTCTAGGCTTCAGTGCTTTCTATGCTAATTCTGTAAAACATATGGTTGCAATGTTTTACATTCATTTTCATGAGTAATTACTGCATTACAGGTTGCAATGTTTTACATTCATTTTCATGAGTAATTACTGCAAAGTAATATAGTTATGAAGATCAGTTTAAAAGGTTGTTTAAAAGACCAGTTTAAAAAGAAGTGTAGTCATTAATGGTAAGAGTAGTCACTCTGCAAGTTTAAAAATGTCTCATTGGAAATTTTACTCTATATTCTTACAGTGTATAATAGTGACATACCTGCCCCAAGCTGCCTCATTTGTAGATGCTTTATTAACTGGAACACAGGAGGAGTCAATGATGGTTGATTTGTTCATCTTGTAGCAGAAACCACAGTCTGGATCCAACATGCATTCATTACAGTAACTACAAAATAAAAAGTTACAGTCATGTTAGCAGAGATAGCTGGTGCTCCCCTGCATTTTCCACTCTACTTTGCAGTAAGCTTAGGTTTAGGAGAGGAGTTTTGGTCATGGTAAAGTAACCAAAAGTGACAAGTAACAAGTGCTGAGGCAAGTGAGAGGTGGCTGGCCTCTTCCATCTCTCCAGCTCTTGGCTGCAGCAACTTTGGAAGCCACTTTGAGAGGGAAGAGGCTTGGGTCTGAGACATTGGATGTTGAAGAACCCTAGTCAGCTTGTAGCAAATAAACATTTGCTTTCCTAAACCCTGGGATTTGTTACCAAAGCATGGACTAGCCCATCTTGATTCACCTGACTGGTTCCAAATTATAACTAAGCATTTGTTTCTCTTAATTGTTTTCATCATGGACCATATCTTTTAAAAATGGAAAAAATATTTTTCCAATATATATCCTGAAAGAATAAAAAATATCTAAAGAAAAAACAAAAATACCACCACCATAACAACAGGCACTGTTAACAACTTGGTGGACACCTGTACTTTTTTTTCCCTTTTTTGTACTTTTAACAAATATATATTATCAAATATGTGTTTTGCTTAATTTAAAAGAAGTCAGTGTAGGAAAGAAGGCTAATTTTCTCTAGGTTAATTACATCTACTGGTTGGATCGTGGAGCCAGGATCAATTAATCATTCCTCACCTAACAACAGTATCCTAACTGCAGGAAAATTCTAAGTAGAAAAAATTCTTTAGGGTTTTTCAACCAAAGCCTTCAGTGTGCTTGTAGAATGAGTTTTCTTGCTGTCACAGTCATTTGCCTAACAGTTCTGGAGCACTTCATACATGGCAGGTATACACAGGCACTAGAGACACTAAGATGCATAAGCCAAAGCCCCTTCTCCTTGGTAGGTAAAAGGCAAGGATGAGAAAAAGATATACGAGCAAATAATGGCAATGTAAAAGAAAATAGTTATGAACTAAAGACAGAGGCCTGTTCACTTGCCTGTAACAGCTGGAGATAACTTCAGAGGTGATATTTGAACTGGATCATGAAAGAAACTTACCAAGCAGAGAGGTGGAGGGAAGGGCATTTCAGAGAACTGCCTATTTTACAATTAAAGATCAGTCAGTACAGACTTTTAAATATCTACTGTGTACAAATAATTATACTACAGAGTGTGGGAGGAGAAACAGGGTAAGAACTACTGCGAGTTATCCGAAAAAGATGTGAATTCTCGAAATCAAAATACTTCTTTGATTCATTTAGCTAAATGGGAAAATATTGGCATTGTTTAAAAAATTAGATTATTATCATTTCAGCTTCTTTCTATAAGCTTTTCCTTTGCAAACAGCTATCCCTATTTTTAAATGAGATTTCAGCCCTATGCCAAAAGCAAAAAGAGGCATTTTAAAGCCAACTGAAAAGTCAATATACTTTAGACAGGTGATAAAGCATTGTAAATATAAAACTGTCACATCTGTGATAAGCAAAATAAACAAAGCAATAGAAAGCATTAGAAGCACTTTGATCTTCCGGCCTACTAGGCTACTTTGGAAAGGAAAATAATTCCTACCAGTATTTCATTTGTTTATTCTGTCCATATGAGGTGGACTCTAACAACCCTGAATGTTCCAATGGCTTTCAATGATATTTATTTGGGAAAGGCTAACTCACCCATTTGTAGAAAAATAACTATTTCTTAAAAAATAAGTATTTCCTACAAAAGGCCAAAAAAGTAATGATAAAGGCTAATAGTCACTGAGAAATTATCATATATAGGTCAGACATATGAGATAATATCTGTAATGCTTCACCTCCTCCATCATTTATGCGAGCATCCAACCCTAACCACAGTCTTTGAGCTTGCTGAGTAAATGACCCATGCTCTGCCATGACCATTCATTCAGCAAAAAATATTTTACAATGCCTGTGTGACAGGAACTATTCCAGGGGCTGGGACACATTAGTGAAAAAAAGCAGTATCCCTGCGCTGGTGCAGCTGATTTGGATCAGACTGCTTAGTGACCTCCAATAAATTGATGCTTCTACTTGCTCCCTATTCACTAGCTTTTTCCTGTCTTTCGTATGCTCCTTGTTACCATGGTCTAGAATTTCAATATACTAAATTTCTCTGCCCATTTATGTTTTCTTCTCACCCATCTAGCACAAATCCTAGCCACATACTAATACAAACATTTGCCTTTTCCGTGCCTTCACTCACATACCTGAACGCAGCTCAGGGAATCACACAACAGGGCACACCAGTCGTTCCTCAGCACTGCGCTACTTCCAGCCTCAAAAGGATCCTCAACAGCCTGAAATTCTTAATAGTTTCCCTTAGCCAACTCTGCATGAGGACTACTTCAACCACCCTACACAAGGACTGTTCTTCAGATCTCCAATGCTCCATTTCCCTTTACCCGCTGCAAATGACCTTACCTCCAGCTTTAGAGAGAAAACAGATGAAAGTGGTACAGATGGAAACTTTATACTCTTACAGCAAATATATAACCCATTCTACTTTCCTGCGCTCCAGTTACAGAAACTGTTGTTCTTAATCTAAGGGCAACTTTTCTATCTGGGCTTTCGTTCCATTCTATCTCCTCAGGCCATTTCAGACCCTTTTGAAAACTGCCACTTCTTTCTCTTACATGTCCATTGTCTTAAGGTGGAAGATTAGTGTTTTGATTTGATATCTTTCCTCTTTTTTTATGTAGGCATGTAGCTATAAATTTCTCTCTAAGCACTGCTTTAGTTTCATCTGATGTTGTGTCTTCATTTTCATTCTTCACAAAGTATTTTCTAATTTCTTTGGTGATTTCTTCTTTGATCCATGGGATTAAGGAGTGTCTTATTTAATTTTCATATATTTGTAAATTCCCCAAATTTCTTTCTGTTAGTGTTTTCTAATTTCACTCCATTGTGACCAAAGAACATACTTTGTATGATTTCAGTCCTTTTAAAATTTACTGAGACTCATTTTGTGGGTTGGCATTTATCTATCCTGAATGTTCCTTGTGCACTTAAGAAGACCGTATATTACTGGTGACGTGTCCTCTAATTGTTAGATCTAGATGGTTTGTTGTAATTTTAAAGCATCTCGGCCCCTTGGTTTCTAAGTCTTCATCTCCATCCAACTTTGTCTACATCCTGGAAATTGTCATCATCTATAACAGGGTCAGCAAACTACAGTCCTTGAGATAAATCTAGACTACCACTTGTTTTTATAAATAGCTCTACTTGAACACAGCCATACCCATTCATTTACTTATCATCTATGACTGCCCTCACACTTTAAGGACAGGATCCCTGAAGGATCCTAAGAGGAGGCACGTGGTCTGCAAAGCCACAGATATTGACTATCCGACTCTTTGGAGGAAGCTTGCTGATCTCTGATATAGGATTCACACAGAGAGCCCATACACAGATTTCTGACCCCTTTCCTTCAAGATCTCTGACTTCCTTACTTCTAGGACAACTGCTCTTCTATATCAGAGACCTGATCTTGATCCTGATCCTTCACTCACTTCACTTTGAGTCCTTCTCTGTCAAACTCTCATGGTAAATCCCTTTAACCACTCTCACCAGACCCTCAGAGTCTTTGTATTTAGGTCCTTCTAAACACTTACCCTATAAACTTTTATGTTTGACTCTTTCCAACCATCTTTCTTCTTCTTTTCTACATCTAGAATGCTCTGAATTGGTAAAGAATTAAACACAACCAGGCATACTAATAAACGTACACATTCCTAGTACTCAACGACAGCTGGGTCCTCACCGTTGCCGGCAAACTTTTACCTGGCCCCAATCAGTGACAGTCCCCACTCCCACAACTGACACCCCAGATAACCATAACTCTCTTCTGACCCCAATCCTCATTTCCCCCACGAGCTTCTCAGAAGATGGCCTTGTCTTCCTGAAAGTACTAGGCATGAACTTTCTGAACTTGAAACTCAGACATGAATAAAGATATCTGCAGCCATGTCTATACTCATCTCTTCCTCCGGGCTCTGAAAAGGAGGTGTTTAAAGATCACCCCTCTAACAGGGCTTTGAATCTCAGTCCTTGGGGCTTCACTAGGACCCATGCCTTGTCCCCTTGCTTATACTTTCAAACCTCTCCCAGAACATGCCCCATAGTTTAGGTGCAGGCTCAAGCCTTTCCCATATTAAAATAAAAAGAGTGAAAACTGTCCTTTCTACTACTCCACATTGTCCCTCCATACAAGTTCATAGGGGTACTCAGTGAAAAGAGGTCAAGTATTAAAAAGTGTTCAAATCCTTCCTATCCTAGGGAGTGAGAATGGATGTGGCCAGCCCTTATCTGGATGATTTTATGGCAAAATTCTCCCACATGTAACAACATTTCTAACTTCGATTTGACGTTTAGAAGGTACACAAAACTTTAAATATCCTGGGGAATCTGCTAATTGACCTTTTACAGAGAGCACATATCATAACCGTGCCTTTAACAAATGGCATTAAAAAAGAAACAACTTCTAGAAGTGGCTACTATTTTTTATTCATGATTTGCTCTTTAAGGTTTTCTTGAACATGACCTGATGAATTTATGTAAGGTCTTCTAAACATAAAAGCTGAGAATTTAAATATATTGGTGCCAAAAAAATGTTCGTAAGAATATTCTAAGCACAAATTAAAACTTTTGAGAAGCAGATTAGTATTTAGGCTCTATTTATCCCCTTTCACAGTGTGATTTGGAGTGAATTTTGAATTCTGGACTTCGAGTTTTCCATCCCAAGAGCAAATGACCTCTAAGAACACACTTAGTTGCAAGATTCTATATAAAACAATAACGGAAATACATGTACTCTAACTCTAAATTCACACAAACACGAACAGAGCGAAGCACATTAGAATGTTTTCACATCTCACAAATATTTACTCTTACCTATTGATTTCAAGGGCAGAAATTATAAAGTGGGCCCTATTTTAAGAAACTCTAAATTTACAAAAGAAATGCAATAAGAAGGTATTTACAAAAGGA